CCAGGGTAAATAAAGGAGAAATGAGGAGTGGCAAACACCATACAATAAACCATTGTGTACCCAAACAATTCCTTCTGCCACGGTTGTGTGGAGAGGAGTATGGAGAAGCTGTGCACACATAACTTATTATAAGATAAAACACAATCCTTTTATATGCAGAAGGTTTTTTTACTCCCATCATTTTTAAGCAAGCATTCTAAAAGCCCAGACCTGCATGTAACAGGACCAGATAGAGTCAAACTTTACCAAATGCATAAACTTAAGTGTTACAAAAAGACTAGCTTTCATCTGAACATTCAGAAGAGACTATAACATATGTTATATACTTTTAAAAGCTTATACTTCGTAAATCATTCTTCTGACTGCTGCTGCATTATCCAGAGATACCATCTAGTTATCTTGGCAACAGAATCAGGAGAAGACTTACTGTATTGCACAAGAATTTAAACAAAATGTATACAACTGACTAATACAATATACTCTTGTTGCAGTGAGGGAATATTAAATTGTTTTCTAATTTCCTTTTCCTTGCCAGGGTGAGACCATTCTGAGCACTCCCACAAAGGGTCTTGGGCCTATGACTACCCTTAACTGCGAGTAGGCCTCATATGGGTACAGCTATACTGCAGTGCTATTTCGGGCTAATTCTGATATCCTGAAAAAGCTATTCTGTATCTTTGAAACAAGCCTATAATTTTGAAATATAACATGCTCACTATTCTGACGTCCCTGTAAACCTCATTCCACGAGGCTTAAGGGATGTTTTGGAATAGCCGTTTATTTAAAAATTTGGCACTGTGTAGACTGCGCCAAATTACAAAATAAGTTATTCTGAAATTAACTAGAAATAAGCTACACAATTTGTGTGGCTCAAATTGAGTAGCTTATTTTGAGCTCAGGATGCAGTGTAGACGCACCCTATAGTGACCATGACTAGATGGGGTTTACTGAATAAACTGTCACTGTCAGCATTGCTAGACTAGAAAAGTCATTACTGCAGCAATATAACCTTTCTTGGGAGCTCTGAACACACCACTTCTGGAGTTGTTTAGCTGCTATCAATCTAGACACGGGCTATGTCTACACTGCAGGCTTCTTGCGCAAGAACAACTGTTCTTGGCCAAAAACTTGAGGAGCATCTACACTGCACGCACATTCTTGTGCAAGTAAATTTACAGTAAAGCATTAGAAGAGAGGGCTTCTTGCGCAAGAGTTGTTCCTCTCCCCACAAGGAATAAGCCCTCTTGAGGGCAATGTGGACAGGCAACAGGGATTTCTTGCGCAAGAAACCCCTATGGATAAAATGGCCATCAGAGCTTTCTTGCACAAGAAAGTAGCCACACTGCCATGGACTCTCTTGCGCAAAAGCACATCTCTTGCACAAAAGCACGTGGCAGTGTGGATGCGCTCTTGTGCATGAACTTTTGAGCAAGTATTCTTGTGCAAAGCAGTTCTTGCGCAAGAAACCTGCAGTGTAGACGTAGCCAGGGAGTCTGACTCAGGCCCATGTAGTATTGCCTAGTTCTGCTATCTATGACTGCAGGGCATGAGAGGCCAGGTACAGCAGGACTTGAAAAATTTCACTGATTTACTTGTCTGTGGATAGTACAAGTTTCCCCTGGCCAGGGTCCTAAGTAATTGCTGCAAAATTTAAGCTTCCATTTAAAAGCATATGTGTCTACATTGGCACCCCTTTCCGGAAAAGGGATGCTGAGACACTTCGGAATTGCAAATTTCATGGGGGATTTAAATATCCCCCGCGGCATTTGCATGAACATGGCTGCCGCTCTTTTCCGGCTTGGGGCTTTGCCGGAGAAAAGCGCCAGTCTAGACGGGATCTTGCGGAAAATAAGCCCTTTTCTGGAAGATCCCTTATTCCTACTTTCAAGGGATCCCCTTTCAAGTAGGAATAAGGGATCTTCCGGAAAAGGGCTTATTTTCCGCAAGATCCCGTCTAGACTGGCGCTTTTCTCCGGCAAAGCCCCAAGCCGGAAAAGAGCGGCAGATGCCGTGGGGGATATTTAAATCCCTCGCGGAATTTGCAATTCCAAAGTGTCTCATTGGCACCCCTTTCCAGAAAAGGGATGCTAATGTAGACACAGCCTATATAGTGTCTAATTTTGGAGTGCCAAGATAACCTTACAACTGTGAAGTTAAGCAGTAGAGTCTACCTGAATCTGCATGCTGGCATTTCCACTGTTTCTCTTGCTGCAGATAGTATTGTAGGCAGCAGCAGAATGAAATTAAAAAACCTCTGGTCCATGTCCCTCTGCTGTTGAAAACGCATAGACCTTAGTGAAATAGATAAGAATCCTATCAACTTTGCTAGTCTGCTTCTTGGGAGAGCTCTGAGTAGCAGCAGAGGTAGAAGAGTTCCAAAATGTGAAACGCTGGTGTGAAAGGAAGGTGTTGAGGCCTACCCAGAATATGTCAAATGAGCACCAGTTTAATTGTAAGTGTAAAGGAAAGGCAGCATTGTGAGATACAGGAGATGTAAGATTAAAAACAAAATTTGATTGGATGACCAACAGCAACCCCGTTTTTAGGGAAGTAAGTAACTCAGACTGCAATATGCAACACAGTGCTGATTACCCCAAATGGAGCAGATGAAAGTTTTGAAAGGACAGAATGAGACAACAAAAATCTAATATCAGCAATTGTCAGGCGAATGGAGGAATACTGAAATACCGAAACAGGGTATATAAGGTTGGACAGAACAGACCAAGAACAGATGGGCTGCGAATCCAAAAAAGCTAGGTCTGATCAACCAGGGCTCCCTCCCCAGCACTGAATCTCGCTGCTGCACATAAGCTCTGAAAAGGGAACACCAGTTGTAAGTTGCAACGAAAAATCCAAAAAAGGAAAGACAGAAAGAAAAGGATATCTCCTGAATCTAAACAATGCTTCTATCTTTCTTAACATGAGTATTATATATTTGATAACTCCACAAATTGTTTAAAGGTAAATCTGGAGGGTATATCTGTAGGAGGAGTTATTATTTCTTGTTTTTTAACTGTACTGTTTTTCTACTTTTTATTTGTATTTTACACTGTCTTAAAAGAATCAAAGATAGTGAATTGATTTAAATGGAAATTTAATTATAAAGTAAATAGAAAAATTAAAATCTTTGTTTAACCTTAAAAGAAGAATTCCTCTGTCTGTGATTTCAAATCCTTTAAGAACCAAACCTGGTTACTGACAACTAGGAGGAACAGAGTTACTGATGCTCCCCTAAAAGAGTCAGGAGACTGTGAGAAGCATTCAAAGAAGGTTGTGACACTTCAAATGTATGAGACGCCTGACACAGTGAAAGTGATAAAAAAGCTAGAAGTCCATATTCTTAGGGGCTATGTCTAGACTGGCATGATTTTCCACAAACGCTTTTAACGGAAAAGTTTTCCGTTAAAAGCATTTGCAGAAAAGAGCGTCTAGATTGGCACGGACGCTTTTCAGCAAAAGCACTTTTTGCGGAAAAGCGTCCATGCCAATCTAGACGTGCTTTTCCGCAAAAAAGCCCCAATCGCCATTTTCACGATCGGGGCTTTTTTGCGCAAAACAAATCTGAGCTGTCTACACTGGCCCTTTTGCGCAAAAGATTTGCGCAAAAGGGACTTCTGCCCGAACTGGAGCAGCATAGTATTTCTGCAAGAAGCACTGATTTCAGACAGTAGGAAGTCAGTGTTCTTGCAGAAATTCAAGCGGCCAGTGTAGACAGCTGGCAAGTTTTTCCGCAAAAGCGGCTGATTTTGCGGAAAAACTTGCCAGTCTAGACACAGCCAGGGTATTTAGGTACCTCTGTCCCATTGAGGATCTGGGCTGGAACATCACTCTACTCTAAGTAGTGTTCCCACTCACCTGCATTTCTCCCCAGCATGTGGTTCGTGGAGTTCACTGGTGTCCCATTTGTAAAATGGGGAAAATACTTTTTGCTTCATAGAGTTGTTGTGGGGGGTTGATTAATATCTGTAAAACAGTTTGAGATCTTCTGAACTGAATTATAACAATAATAGAAGTCAATGCCTGTCCTCTCTCCTTAGTGCAAAGCTCTTCTTAAGCCATTTAACTGAGGGCTGTCTTACACATAAAGACAAAACAGGTGGTTGCCCAGGACAACAAATTGTTTAGTGATTCTTTAGAGGTTTGTGATTTGGGTCTGGACATTTTCCTGTTTACTTACCACTTAAGGAAAAGAGCCAGAAATGGTACTGATTGAACTTGCATCCTATTATTTTTCAAAGGTTTCAGACCTTCATCTCACTTTAATTATCTGGCACTCACTTTATCATTACTGAAGAAATAAAAAAAAAATTGCTGCAGCAGGTTGGAGGAAAAGCTCGTTAGATTTCACATCTTTTGAGTGTTAATAATTTGTGTTATGATTATATTTAAAACCTCATGTGTTTACAATACCGGATTTATTCCATGGAGCTAGACTTTATATTCAAGTCAGTACACAATATACCACATTAACATAGAAATGCATTTAAATGAATAGTGCCTGAGATAAGGATGATTACTAACATATGCAAACTCATTTATCTTTATTGTTACCTTGACTTTCTTCCCGATTTTGTTTATTCACCTCTCTCAAACCCTAGGCTGCGAGCCGCATTCCAGGGCAGCTATAGCCTTTATTTGACTTGTTTTCACAGAGTGTATATGATACAATGAGATCCTACCCCCAGGCTGTGTTTCTCAAGCACTACCACAAAAGAAACAAACAGTAACTAGTCATCATCATCGTTTCTAATCTTGAGCTAGAAGCTCCGCTAGTGTAAATGCGCGTAGTCACATCAATGGAGCTACACTGGTTTACACAGGCTGAGGACTTCGGGTCTGGGATCACAATTTCTTCCTCTATTTACTTCCTAACTATACACATCTCTCTCTCGCTTTCGGAGGCGGGGGGAGGCGCAGCAGCGCATGAATGCACATTCCCAGACAAGGCTGCGATTATAAAAGTGATTTCCCTGCGCAAACGTAGCGAAACAAATTGATAACAACGGACGCCCCCACGGCATGGAAAAACGTGTCCACGGGAGGTAGGTAGAAGATCAAGCGCTGGCGGCGCTCAGTGTCCCTCTGGGTGCGAGGTTCTGCCTTCCTCTGGTTCTGCCCGCCCCTGTAATGAAGAGCAGAGACTCAGTGCCATGCTCGCGCACAAGCTCATTTGCAGAAGCCGGCCCGGCTGGCGCTTTCCCTGCCAGCCCCTGGCTGCAGGGGACTTTGGAACCGGCCCTTCCCCTTTCCCAGTGTAAACACGGCCCGGCGCAGGGCAGCGGGGACAGCCTTCCCCCGGCCGGGCTCCGCCCTGCTGGGCGTGGGCGGCGTTTGCTCCCCTCCCCTCGCCCCTTTAAGGCCTCGGCGAAACTTTTTTCCCCTGCTGGCCGCGGCGACCCCGTTACATCCGTGGGCCGGCGCCTGGCGGGGCAGGGGCTTGGCGCCTGTTGGTGAGGGCAGCGCAAAGTCTTGGGTAGCCCCCGGCGGGGAGCGTGCGAGGAGGAGCCGGGCTGGAGGGTGCGAGATGAAGCCGGGG